AACCAGCAGCAGCTGCAGCACCTGAAGACTTAGCGGCGTCCCCTGCCTCGTCCTCTGCCTCTGCTGCTTCTGCTGCTGCCCATTACGAAGCAGTTTCCTGCTGCAGCAGCACCAGGCTGCGCTGCCGCTGTTGCTGCAGCAGCAGCAGGCCCAAATCCAGGTATCAGCCCTCCAGGCAGACACTGGGGCTGCTGCTGCAGTAGCTGCTGCTGCTGCTGATGCTGCTGGGGCTGCTGCTGCATTTGGTGGAACATCCCGAAACCAGAAGCGCCGCCCCCGCCCTGCAGCATCTGCTGCTGCTGCTTCTGCTGCTGCTGGCCAAACATGGGCTGCTTCTGCTGCTGTAGCAGGGGCTGCTGCTGCAGCGTCGGTTGCACAGCCTTTTGCTGCGAGAACTGAAACAGTGGCTGCTGCTGCTGCTGCTGCTGCAGTGGGTCTTTCTTGCGTACAATTCGCAGCACTCTTCGGCCCCCTTTGCTGCCTCCCATTTCTTCATCGAGTCCTTCCGCTGAAGGCCCCCCAGGTGCAGCAGCAGCAGCTGCTGCTGGTGCTGCAGCAGGAGCAGCAGCGGCTGCAACTGCAGCAGGAGCAACAGTCGCAACTGCAAAAGCGGTAGCAGCTGCTGCAGTAGGAGCAGCAGCAGTAACTGCAGGAGCAGCAGCAGGCGTGAAAGCCGCAGGAAGGGAGAAGAGCGGCTTTGCTGCAGCAGGTTCTGCTGCTGTTGCTTCTGCTGCTGCAGCTGCACGAGGTGCTGCCAAGGTAGGCGCGAAGCCACCAGCGCTGGAGAACCCGAGGCTAAGCTTCTGCTGCTGCTGCTGCTGAATCTTCTCCTGATCTTGCTGCTGCTGCTGTTGCTGCTGCTGCTCTTGCTGTTGCTGCTGCTGCTGTTGCTGTTGCTGCTGCTGCTGTTGCTGCTGCAGCCTCGCTTGCTCTTGCTGCTGCTGTTGCTGCTGCAGCCTCTCTTGCTCTTGCTGCTGCTGCTTGCGTCTGCGTTCTTCTTCTTTGAGCTGTTTGCGTCTCTCTTCCTCTTGCTGCTGCTGCATCTGTCTTTCTTTTTCTTCGCGTTCCCTTCGCTGCTTCTCCAGCTGCTGCTGCAGCAGCAGCTGCTGCTGCTGCTGCCGCAGCAGCTTTGTTTCCTCCACAGATAACGCAGGGGCCCCCAAAGAAGGCAGCACTTCATTTGTGTCTGCATTAGACTGACACAGCAGCAGCCTTGCTGCAGCAGCAGCAGCAGCAAGGGCCCCCCCTCCGTGGCTGCGCCGCCGCTGCCTCTTTATAGGAGACAGCTCGGAAGGGCTGCTGCCTGCTGCTTCTGCTGCTGCTGTTGCGGGAGATGCTGCTGCTGCTGCGGCGGCTGCCGCTTCAACCGCTGCTGGTGCCGTTTCACTCTCTGCTGCTGCTTCTGCTGCTGCTGTTCCTGCTGCTGCTGCTGCTGCTGCTGCTGCTGCTGTTGCTGCTCCTGCTGCACGGAGACAGACACCCGAGTCATCTGTGCCCCTTCGGCGCTTGCGCGTAGAAGCAGAAGATGATGCCTCAGCAGCAGCAGCAGCAGCAGCAGCTGCTGCTGCTGCTGCTGCTGGAGCAGATGATGCCCGTTCTGGGGTGCGAATCGCATCCTCCCCTGCTCCTGCTGCTGCTGCTGCTGCTGCTGCTGCGCCTGCAGGTTCCTTATTAGCTGCTTCCTCTGCAAGGGCAGCGCCGTTGCTGCAGTCGTTGCTGCTTGTGCTGCTGCTACTGCATTTATCGCCGTTAGAGCTGCTGCTGCTACCGCACGCGCTGCTGGTTTTGCTGCTGCTGTTGCTGCTGCTGCTGCTGTTGCTGCAGCCGCCCTTGCTGCTTCTATCCCCGCCACAAACAGAAGGCCCTTCTGTCTCTCTTGTCTTCATCTTTCCTTCAGTCGTGAGCACCGCTTCACCTTGCTGCTGCTGCAGTTGCTGCTGCTGCTGCTGCTGTTGCTGCTGCTGCTGCTGCGCCTCGCACGGCCTTGGCGGCAGCAGCAGCGAACTGCGGGGACCCGACAAAGGGAAAAGCAGCCCCAAAGAAGACCTGCGCCGCCTTTGCTGCTGCAGCGAGAGTGCAGCAGGAGAGCAGTAGGCCACTCCCAGCTGCAGCGCGGTGCTGCTGCTGCTGCTGCTGCTGCTGCTGCTGCTGTCGCGCGTAGTGGATGGGCTCCACACGACGCAAGGCATTTCTTC